CCCAACGAAGCACTTCAGCCGACGGCACCCACCAGCGCTACTCTGTGTCTCTGAACCTTAAGGACCGAGTCAAAACGATCAAATACATTATGCTGTATTAGCATCAGTGTGTGCCAGAAGTCAAACCAAACACTCGATGAATCTAAGTGCAATATGTGTCAGTGGGTCACTGAAGCCCAATTATCAGTTCATGGGTGTATCTGTGACGGCCGCGTTAGCAGCTAAAGGCAGCCACGCATGAACATGAAAGTGTGAATTGGTGTATGAAAGTCCCTCCGCGTGTGTGCTGTGTATAATAAGCAGTTGATCTCATCTGCATGGGGAGTTTTTTTTTTGTTGCTTCAGAGTGAAACATAGTGAGGCTGGTTCACACACATCAGAGCTCAGTGCAGCACTGATGGAAGGGGGGGGGGGGCGTGTGTCGCTGCCAGAGGTAAATATACTCCCCTCACCTCACTCTCCCACTCACCCATCATGTATGCTCCTTTTCCAGAAATCCTCATTTACCGGTACGGCTCACCTTTCCTGGATGCTGAGCCTATCCCCCCCTTTTCTCTTCTTGCATATGTGCCCCATTTGGCACACCCTGAGGGCATGTCAGGAGAGAGGGCTCTCCTGGAAGTTTAATTAGCCTGGCATGGGGGAGTCAGGGGGGGAAGGGTTTCCACGCAGGGGCAGATGGGGTTCTTTGGAATGGGGGTTGACTTCAGTTAGGAGTTGGGAGATATGTTGGAGATGAAGTGCGTACATCTGGAGAACACTGGTAAGACCCAATCATATCTGTGTCATCCAATCATGAGAGTCCAGCCAAAAGCCTGTTTCTGGGGCTTCAAACGTGGTTGATATTCACCACGAAGAAGAGCCATTTCCAGCTTACATTACAGTATTTCAAAGGGTTAGGGTCACAAAGGTTGACCCTAAATCACATGAATTTCGAACCCTTAGATATTGATTCCATGCTTAGACAATAGCCAGCTGTTACCAGTCGGAGCTACACAACAGTCCAAACTACACAAGGCTGCTCAATAGCAGTTCGGCCTCCGGATCTGAGCAATTATTTTTTTGTCACAGCTCACAAAGATTTAAGGAATGGATGAATATGGGTGAAATGTGAGCATTAACTTGGCGCGTACAGAACGAATGTGTCATTTGTTTTATAATTAGGACATTAAAAACATTTAAACAGGGAAGGAAGATTCCATTCTCTGCCACCCATGTGTCCCACATAAGAGCATTTAGTTATCTCTCTTCATGTCCGAACTCCCCTGCCTTTCTCCAGCACGTAGAAATGCCACCAATGAAAGAAATGTGTTTATTTTTAAAGTCAGTTCTGCTGCAGTTCGATTTGTGCATTGCTCACTAGGAACATCTATGGCAAGTCAAGCTCCTAATGGCAAAGGTAGCATTACCATGGCAACAGCCGGCTCAAAAGTATGGGGACGGTGTGAGTGAGTGTTGCTGCATGTCAAAACTTGGCAGAGTTGAAAAATGTCAACAGCATTAAGTGTAAAAGTGAAGTTTCTGCTAAGTGACACAGGTGCTACTGCTGCATGACTCATTGTTTACATGTCACTAATACTTTTGAGTTGTAAAAACAGGTAGATATTCTTGTCATAAGTCATCACAGTATAAAACACTGCTGCCAATTGTTGCCAATTTGTCTGCGATCATATGCTAATACACATCTTGTTGAAAAAACATGTGTTAGATCTTTTTTTATAGTAAGAAATATTTGATAGACTCTGAACATCTGCTCTCATTTCCTGATAAGAGGAGAGGTAACACGCTATTACACCATATTCCTTCCAAAAAATACAAATAGTAACTGCACATGACATCACCCCTTGGTTTGGGAACTGCTGTGGGTCATCTGAATCTTTTTGGAACCAGAGGTTGCAAATATTTGGACCAAAGGTTGATGCTAAATTTACACCTGAACCAAGTCTGACCAGACTAAAGTAATTTGTTTCAAGCCCAACTTAATTGTAATTACAGATTTTTATTGTTCTCCACACATAACATAGGTCTTAAGATGGATTGTTTCAGATTTCCTTACAGAATCATTATCTCTGTAGAGGAATATTTATATAAAGACCTTACATACTGGAATTGATAAAAAAAAAAGCGTCTTGCAACATTTTTTCACTCAGTTACAAATTTTGTTCAGTATCTATCCTGATGAAGAGTAATTTTTTCTATTGAAATGGGTTCTTGATTCTTGCAACATTAATGGAAAATACCTTGAAATTTTAATGTTATATATCTCGCTGCAAATATTCTGCATTTTTTATTGTTTGTAAAACACTGGTGTGCAGCAGTGGATTATGAAAATATCTCTTTGGTTGCATTCATTGAGTCCTATTGTGCTGAACTGAATGTGAGTGAGCCATTTGTTGGAAAATCCTACTTTTTTCTTTGGTAATTGCCATTTTAAATGCTTTTTTAAGAGATTAAGTTTAACATGAAGACACATGGAGCGTGTCACGCAGCACTGCGGAAAGTCACGGAATCAGGCACACAAGCTGGAGAAGATGTGAAGTTTCTGGAATGTTTTATTGATGATTCTTTTTTTTTCTTCTCTCTTTAAAATCATGTGAAAACATAATACATATAACCCGCCCCACCTTGAAGGTCGGAGGTTTTCACTTGCTTTGTTGTTAGTGTCCCGGTCTTGTGTTGACTATCACATTTGGACAAATAGTCTAAACTGGCCCATTGCTAGTATCAATATGAGTGCCATGTGAGGAGTTAATAAGATACTGTTTGTGAGGTGAACGTTAAATGACCGTGCTGAGATTATGTGGTTGTGAATGTATTGTTTGGGACAGGGGAATGGTCCTTAATTATTGATGTTTATTTCTAAAAACAACACTCCTGGCTTGATATCTAAAGGGAAAATAGACCCTAAAATAGACTGCATCTGTGCAATAGCGTGTAGTTTCTTCTGTTTAGATAATTTGACTCATAAATCATTTACCTACTTACACACCTGCCCCACATGACCAAACCTCAGCCAGTCATATAAGTTTGAATCTGTGAGACACTCTGTGTGTAGTGCCCTTGAACAAGTTCTGTTTTGTTGCTTCTTTTATAGTAGGCTTTGTGATGAATTATAAATCAATAAAGGCTGAATTCCATGCAGCTGTGGATGTTTGAATTTATTTTTATCATGCATGCTGTCTCACCAGCTAACTGGCACGGAGAGCCATTGTTCGTGCTTTCCATATAATAACTATCAAAATGTCAGCTGTCGCAAAGGGCATTGCTCAACATGACTGTCTTTATGTTTCTTACCTGCTTATCCAAACTGGTTCTGCCTGCTCGCACTCACACAGAAGCACGTCACTGTGTTGTTCATCTCTTGGCTTGCCCAAACACTCTGTATCATAAAATATTGTGGCAGTCCACAACAAAATAGGACAGTGTATTTTGACCTGAAAAGAAGAATAAAAACATCACTACACGTTTCACACATTAGGCTCTTTTTATGAATAGAAATTGTTCATGCATCCTGATGTTTTATCTTTAAAGCCATTACCTCAAAGAACAAATATACAAACTACGACTTTGATCGTATACTTTTAATCCATTTTATCCTTTGGATCCATCTTCAATTAAAAAAAAGAAAATGTAACAAAACCTCTGCATTTAAAAAGGAAACCCTGTCCTGCTTATCCGTGGTTTCTCTTTCCAGTCCTTCTCTTCTTATGCACGTTTTTCTGATCTTTTTCTGCTGAAACCATTCACCTTCAGAAAGACTCAATAAATCTCTTTTGATCTCCTGGTGCAAGAAAAGGCGAGGCCAGAATATGAATTAGCATTTAGTCGATCCAGACACTATCTGCAGGTCTCCAGTGCAATGCATTCTTACATTAAACAATAGAAGAATGTGCTATTTCAGTGTGAAAATAACTATTCACATTATTCCTTTCTATATGATTCTGCATATTTAAATACTAAACTCATGTTTTGATACGTATCGCTGTTTTGCATTTACTTGTAATTTTTGTACTCTTTTTAAGGCTATTTCAGAAATATAAAAAGAACATTTCATCGAGCTAACTTGTAACAAAAGCGCCACCTTGTGCCAAATATATGACTCTGTCACAAATCTTTTTGAACAGGCATTTAGGCGTTTATATGATAAACATTTGGGGTCCTGGTAAAACCTACCTGCTGGAACATGTAGTCTTCAAAAGCATTGACTTTCGCTTTAATGCAACTCTCAGCACTGCAGCTCCCATAAACCCTTGCGAACATCTGCTCGTGTCGAGCGTTATGGCGTCTTCTTGAAGCGTACATAAATCGCAACTGTTCTGTTGACAAGTGAAGAAAGGTAGGATTTAAGTATGCTAATCATAAAATAGCCCAAGTCAGTTATTTTGACTGCTATCAGCAAACCCGAATGTGATTTCTATTTGACACTGTTGAGCATTTTTTGCGAGATAGCCATTTTGCTAAGTTGTTAGCCAGTAAGCGTAGCTTTCTCTCAATGTCCACTTGATTAATCCTGCAAATGGTTATTTGCTTTATTTTATTTCTTCTGTGTGGGATACACTCGTAAAGGTTGGTGCATACCCTGCTTGTGAATCAGACTACTGTCTAAATAAAATTTGATGGGAGAAGAAGCGCCGGCAACCCTTAAATTTCTTGGTTATGTGTGCATGTTATTTTTTCTTTGGTTGTTAAATAGACAACTCTGAACAATGTTCAACCTAAAGATTTCTACTTATTTCATTTTTCCAAATGACCGTTAATCTTCAGTGAGACACGGGATATAAAGACCCATATGGTGAGGAATTCTCTACTTTGTAACAAATCGTCTTGGTGCTTGTTGCCTCCAATTCTGTGACATTGTTAATTGAAATCGACCTGACAATGGACATGTAATAAAAATAAAAAGTAGTGCCATAATTGTGGGTTGGTCATAACTAGCCAGTTTTCTAAAATACATCATGAAATATGGATATCAAGGCTAATCACCACTTATATACTTACAGATGGCAGCGGACTCCACAGACAAGAAGGATGCAGAAGCCTCAGGGGCCAAAGACAGAGAAAGGAAACGCAGCCGTTCGCGGGACAGAGAAAGGGAAAGGAAAGCGTCGCCGACACGCAAACGCAACCGCTCTCGTGAACGAAACCGCTCCAAATCCCCAGAAAGGTGACTTGAGCAATGACACGCAAACCCGGACGGAGAAATGCTGTTTTTTTGCTGTTTCTCTTCCTTTTTAGGCATTGTGATAATCCAATCTTAATTTGTTTGTTTACCTGCGACTTGTAATGACAGAGATCGGCGCAGGACAGAGAAAGACAAGGACCGTGAAAGAGACAGAGATAGAGACAGAGACAGAGACAGAGAGAGGGGCCGTAAAGACAGAGACAGCCACCGGCGGGACAAAGATCGCAATAAGAGGTAAGCAGACGCTGGGATGGTCGGCTCTGTGAGCCTGAAGGGGATAAACTTAATCAAAACTGCAGTTCTTAGTTTTAAAACGGCAACAAAAAAAAAAACATGTAATCGAAGGCAATTGTTGATGAGTAATTCAGAAGAATTTTACCAAACTCCAATGGAAAACTGTCTGATTGTGATCACACTGTCCTAATATCTAATCTTTACAGAAGCCCCTCACCAAAATCAAGAGATGGTAGGTTAAAGAAAGAGAAGGACATAAAAGCCGAGGATGAGGAAGAAGAAAAAAAGAAGAAAGAGAAGGTAGGACTCTGGTTGAGCAGAGGGTTTTTCCTGTGGTTAAATTCTATCATTGTTCATCCAAGACATCATCAAAAGGGCACAACCCAAAAAGATAAAGTGTTGAATTAGTTTTTGTTAAATTCAGGCTTGGGAATTTCTAGAGCTTGTGCTCGTGTGTAAGATCTTGGTTGTGTGTCGTGTTGCAGGTCCAGCCACTGTCTTTAGAGGAGCTTCTGGCCAAGAAAAAGGCAGAAGAGGAGGCAGAGGCAAAGGTGAGAACAGACCATGGTATTCCTTTCTGCAGCCTTACAATTAGCTGTGTCCCAACTTTAAAAATTCTCTCCTTTTTTGTCCTCTTCTTCTTAGCCTAAGTTTCTGTCAAAAGCAGAACGGGAAGCTGAGGCCATAAAGCGCAGAGAGCAGCAGGTAGAGGAGAGGAAGAAGATGCTGGATGACGAGAGGAAGAAAAGGAGGGTGTTTCAGGACATAGGGAGGAAAATGCTGGGTGTGTTGCAGTTCTCCTGCTTAAAAACTTTGTTCGGACTCTGAAAAGCATCATAAGATAACCTCTGAGATTATGTTTTGCAGAGGACCCCCAAGAAAGGGAAAGGCGGGAAAGAAGAGAGCGGATGGAGCGGGAGAACAACGGGACTGAAGAGGACGATGGACGACAGAAGCTCAGAGAGGAGAAGGATAAAGGCAAAGAACTTGTGGCAATCAAGGTTGGTGACAGGAGAGGGTCATTGTGGTTTACTCAGCCTGGTCTTCCCTGTCGTTCACAGAAAGCATTGCTGAATATCTGCCTCATCTTTATCTTCATTCCAGGAGCGTTATCTTGGCGGCATCAAAAAACGGCGGAGGACTCGCCACCTGAACGACAGAAAGTTTGTGTTTGAGTGGGATGCCTCAGAAGACACTTCGGTCGACTACAACCCGATGTGAGTCCAGTGTTTTGCTGTCTCTGGATCACATCTTTGTGGGTTTTTTTGTGTTTAAAAAAACTAAACATTCGTCTTCTAGTTACAAGGAGAAGCATCAGGTGCAGCTGTATGGACGCGGCTTCATCGCTGGCATTGACTTGAAGCAGCAGAAAAGGGAGCAGTCGCGTTTCTATGGCGACCTAATGGAGAAAAGACGCACCCTGGAGGAGAAGGAGCAGGAAGAGTGAGTAAAAAGCAGCATATGTTCAGTGATGAGATTGTTTGAAAATAACCTGGGCGGAATGTGGAAATTCTGGGGGAAAGTTTCCATTTTGGAAGGAAGAAGGTCATTCAGGTAAATGCTGCTGTGCTTCCATCGTCCTCCCCTCAGGACACGACTGAAGAAGATGCGCAAGAAGGAAGCCAAGCAGCGCTGGGACGACAGGCACTGGTCCCAGAAGAAGCTGGACGAGATGACGGACAGAGACTGGCGAATCTTCAGAGAAGATTACAGCATCACCACCAAGGGAGGAAAGATCCCGAACCCCATCAGGAACTGGAAGGAGTACGCGCTGCCCGCACACATCCTGGAGGTCATCGACAAATGCGGCTATAAGGTCAGCAGGTGTCTCATTTAACTCTCCCAGTAGTCGGCCTGTAGCTGGGACAGTCTGAGTGATAACTTTATTCTCAAATGGTTTTCTCCAGGACCCTACGCCCATTCAGAGGCAGGCCATTCCTATTGGCTTACAGAACCGTGACATCATCGGTGTGGCTGAAACGGGTAGCGGTAAAACTGCTGCTTTCCTGATTCCATTGCTGGTTTGGATCACCACTCTGCCTAAGATTGAGAGGTAGGTCACACAGTTAGAGCTTCCGTGATCTGGGTATGCCTCTGGGCCATCCCTCTTCCTCCCTGGGCCCTCACTCCGCCCTCACTCTGCCTTTCTGCGTACTGCAGGATTGAAGACTCCGACCAGGGTCCTTATGCTGTGATTTTGGCCCCGACCCGTGAGTTGGCGCAGCAGATCGAAGAGGAAACGATAAAGTTTGGTAAACCTCTGGGCATCCGAACAGTGGCCGTGATCGGAGGAATCTCCAGAGAGGACCAAGGCTTCCGCCTGAGGATGGGCTGTGAGGTAAAAACACTGACTTTCATCATCTCTGTATCTGCAGTGAGACTGTTAAGGGATTTTAAAGGGCAGGAGCTGTTACTAAAAACATGTTTTAAGGGACTTTGGGCAAGCTTGTGTACTGCGAACCTAAGGACAATATCAGTGTTGTATTTTCCGATGACAAATGGGAAGAACAGTTATGGATTGTGTCTTGATGTTAATAAATAAAGGCAAATAAGGTATTCTTATTTTTTCTGAATATGCATACAACTGTAAAGAGGCAGTAAACGTATAAAGAGGCAATGTTAAATGCCTCCCGTGCAGTTGGTGGTATGAAGGTGGCCCTGTGTTTTTCCCCCACTAACAGATCGTCATCGCCACCCCTGGACGTCTGATTGACGTGTTGGAGAACAGGTACCTGGTGCTGGGCCGCTGCACCTATGTTGTCCTGGACGAGGCCGATCGTATGATCGACATGGGCTTCGAACCAGACGTCCAAAAGATTCTGGAGTACATCCCAGTGACCAATCAGAAACCGGACACTGACGAGGCAGAGGACCCTGAGAAGATGACCATGAACTTTGAATCAGGGAAACATAAATACAGACAAGTAAGTCCATCTTCATGACCCAGGCTGCTCCGTGGGGGGGAGAGCGTTCTCCTTTAACTGTTTGTGCCCCTGAACCTCGCAGACGGTCATGTTCACCGCCACCATGCCCCCGGCGGTGGAGAGGCTGGCCAGGAGCTACCTGAGACGCCCTGCCGTGGTGTACATCGGCTCTGCTGGAAAACCTCACGAGAGAGTGGAGCAGAAGGTCCTGCTGATGTCGGAGGGGGAGAAAAGGTGAGAGTGGCGCACACGCCGTGGGCAAACGCGGGGCTCACCTCGGTGCCTAACCCTTTCTCTGTGTCTGGTTGTGCAGGAAGAAGCTGCTGGAGGTGTTGTCGCACGGCTTCGAGCCTCCCATCATCATCTTCGTCAACCAGAAGAAGGGCTGCGACGTGCTGGCCAAATCTCTGGAGAAAATGGGGGTAAGTCGCTGTGGAGCCAACGCTGGAAGTGTGTTCCACTGCTCCGGCCTGAACAGCCGATGCAGCCTCATGATTCTTTTAAGGGGAGGGTTTACACCAGGACCCAGTTAATTGGTCTGGCTGAGGGAACAATCTTATTATGGGTTCCCTTTGTGACTTCTTTTCTTAGGGTTTTGGATTATGTTGGGTTGATTTTAGCACATTTAGTTTATTCTTAGTGGACTGTAAGTTCACCATCTGCTGCCTCCTCCCCTCCCCAGTACAACGCCTGCACGCTGCACGGTGGCAAAGGCCAGGAGCAGAGAGAGTTTGCTCTCTCCAATCTCAAAGCAGGAGCCAAAGACATTCTGGTGGCCACAGACGTTGCTGGTCGAGGTATTGATATCCATGATGTCTCCATGGTCCTCAACTACGACATGGCCAAGAACATCGAAGGTGAGAGGCCTCCTTCTCCTCGCTGTGTTGCCTTTTGTCATCTGTCATTAAGTCATCAGTAGTTAAATAGCTCGTGTTTCCACACACTTCCTTCCACAGATTACATTCACCGTATCGGCCGTACTGGTCGTGCCGGTAAGAGCGGAGTGGCCATGACTTTCCTCACTAAAGAGGACTCGGCTGTGTTCTACGACCTGAAGCAGGCCATCCTGGAGAGCCCAGTGTCCACCTGTCCCCCGGAGCTCACCAACCACCCAGACGCTCAGCACAAACCGGGAACCATCCTGACCAAGAAGAGACGCGAGGAGACTATCTTCGCCTGATTTCTCTTTTTGTTTCCTTCTTTAGAATTTACCCACTGAACAAGTCGGTGCCGATTCTGGCTGTTTTTACCTCTGATTTAGCACCCTACTGTGTCCGTGCGTTTATCTGTCCTGTCCTCAGCAGATTATTTTCAGCAGAATCCAGATGATATGCTCGGTATAAACTGAAGCCAGATGCCATGGAACCAAGTGGTTCTGTTCTTTGCTGCCACCTAAACCTGTAAGAGACCAGCACCAGATCTGATGTCAGGTTCCTCTGTTCTAGGTATATCATTCCACCAACTTTTCGCAGCTCTTTTTCAATATAAACCTCTGTGTGAAATGACTGAATGAGTGTCTGACAGCATCGATCATAAACACAGGGACTTCTTCACTTTTATTTCTTCAGGGTTCAGATCAGGAGGATCTGGCCCTTTAATAAGAAAGACTGTACTCTGAATACCACAAGAAATGACCGGAGTATGTGTGTACCAGATGAAACAAACGGGCCATAAAGTATACAGTAGATCTATCCAGCTGTCTTATGGTGTCAGAACAAGTCAAATTACATTTTTGAATATTAAATTGTGGTTTCTAAGCTCTTTGGCTTCTGTCTGATTGAAAATCAGCGCGTGGTTCACGGTCACCAGTCAGATAAATAGATGAGGACAACCACTAAATGACGGTTTTTTTCCCCTGCCTATGATAATCCAATTTTATATTCCTACAATTACACATTCATCAGAGTTTTGCATTTGCTTATATTTAAGGGAGAAAGGACTTTTTGGCTCCTTTCATGTTATTGTGATGTTCCCATCAGCCCTGTAGTGTGGTCTGTATTTGATATTAATTAGCATGTTGGTGTGACAAGCCACACTAATGTGGTGGACATCCGTTTGCCTTCTCATGTGGGACCGATAAGCACTTAGGAGCGGCACAGATAAAATCAAACACTCAGATGATAGTTGATGTGGTCAGATTTGTTAGCATCACTGTCTGAATAAACTTTTTAGTACCAGTGCATCCAAACTACAAACTGTTTAATACGAAGATAAAAGCCTATCTTATGGTGGTTTAACAGAAAAACCTCAAAAGCAATGGGTTTGGAAATCTAAAACGGCAGCATTGCTCTATTACCATCACGACCAAAGTGATGGAAGAAGTTCAATGAAACACAGATGGCCCCAACAATTAAAAGTACATAAAATGGCATGTTTATTTAGTTTGTCATATTTCACTTAGCAATGTAAGTATTTTCAAATAGAAAGCATTCTTTACAGCATCAGGCAGGAAATGTCTCACTTTTAACACATTTTCTGTCTCTTTGACAAATCGAGGGAGGATGCACGTCGGGCCGTGCCAGCACGCTGTGGTAGTCCGGTGGAAGCGTGGTTATATTTAGTGCAGTTATTGCATCACAAAGCAACCATCCCAAAAACAAAGTAGTGCAATTTTTTTTTTTCCTTTTCTACTCACAAAAAGAGGAAGTCCAGATGTTCTAAGGCGTTTACAGTTTTTCAGTGTTAGGCTTCATATTGCATACGGAATAAGACAGAGGGAATGAAATCAGAACCCTTGTAAAAATTGTGCTTCATAAATTGAAAACCTCAACTGCCTTAGTTGCTAAATTGGTCCACTTTGAAAAACATTCTCTGCCAAAAGATAATGAAAGTAGCTAATTAGTGAAACTAAGACATGCAGGGCTTTGATAATTCACTCATTCCCTTTTTATTTAAATTTAAAAACTATGTATATATTTTTTTTTATGTGTGTGTGTATATGTCAGTTTTTATTTGGGACTGTTTTTCAGTGAGTTGCCTCTAAAAGTGCGCTGTGGAAGAATGTCCTCAGTACAGAGGTGTGTGGGGAGGGAAACCCATTTTCAAAGATCAAGTTGTTGGCGGTGAGCAGCCCCAAAGACAATACTATCCCTACAAGACAACGAGGAGAGTCAGAACCAACGCATTACTGAAATACTGAGCTGTAAAAAGAAACAATCAGTTTTCATGCAGTACTTGCATAGATTTTTTTCTTTTTTTCCCCTTTCTTTCTTTTCTTTTTTTTTTAAACCATGCTGATTTTTTTGTTATTTGTCTCTTAAAAATATACAGAATACTAGATAAATACTTGCGAGACATGGAAAAGCAGTAAACCAGTAAAGACTGACCCTGTGTGCCAAAAACGGAGACGGGTCGCCACTTGCCTGCGTCACGCCAAACTCGCCATCGGCTCGTGGACGAGAGATGGAGCGGGAAAAAAATACGGGATGACTTTTGTGTCACGGGTGCTACGAGTCCTTCCAGAGCCAAAACCAGAGTGGGAGGCTTCACCCCTGAGGATGGGCCTTTGAGAAAAGCAGCAGTGCACGAACGCGATGTGGCGTTTAAGCCCTCAGGGGGCGCCATCAGAGTGGGGACTGTGGATGCTACAATCAGTAACGTGCTACAATCGAATTATGGGGTGATGGGCTGGGCTGGAGGCACCGGGTTGGTGCTTGAAGTGCAAAAGGCATGCAAGCTTACATTCTGTGGAGCATTGATTGGAAGAGGAGCTGCAGCTCTGCAGCATGTGCTTGACATATATGAGGAGCTTCATGTAAACATGTGCAGTGCGTTCCCTTTCACGGCTGCGTTTACATTCTGTGTGAGTTTTAGAGGTGTCGGAGTGATGACCTGACCGGACTGGAAGGTGGTGCCCACGCTCTACCGCAGCCTCACTTCAGATGTGACTGTTCACAAACGCTACGTCTCTCCCAAATCGGCGTTCAGTGAATACATGGATTGCAACAAACGAGTCCATAGAGTCCAGAACAAAGGAAGTAGCAAAGAAAGAAAAACTGATGCACATTCAGTATATACAATAAAATCAGATGCATTACTATTACCCAGAAAAGGGTTCAACACAGGACATTCCTACATTAGTTTATCTGTAAAGATCATTCACTTCCTGTTCAGCCATCATGTGCAAATAGTCTTAAAATAATTATTCATGCAATAGTAAAGATAGTTAAAAGTCTTCAGATTTTTAAGGCCAGTATATGAGACATCCTACGAGAGAGACATTAGGCAAAGCAGCTAAAGGTTGAGTTTTACAGCTGGCAGCCTGAAACTTGTCTGCTGGAGAGGCGAGCGGCCCTGATGACTGTAATCTGATAGACTGGACCTCAGGAAGGTGGCCCTCCCCAGGTCACTGAGCCAGGAATGTGGGGAGACTGATAACTGTATAATTAGCTAATAAAGTGGGTGTTTGTTTGTGACTGACATTAACAGTGTGGAGCTGATTCACCTCTGCATGGTTTCTTGAGACTCTAGAAGAGTCAAAGGGCTTGGAGGGGACCTTGATGGTGACCTGGAGGCTTGGTGGAGGGTGGGGGGGGTCAGTAGGTGTCTCGGGGCCATGGGCGGCTCTGCTGGCGATTATTCCTCTGGTTGTGACCTTGCTGAGCTTCACGCTGGAGCAGCCTGTCCTGCGACTCGTGCCCGTTGGTACTGTGGGAGCTGTCCGTGTGCCCTCGGTGAGAGGGGTACATGCCCCTGTATGTGCGCGCATGGCAGGGAGAAGCAAACTCATCCTCTTCCTCTTCTTCCTCCTCCTCCTCTTCGTCCTCCTCAACCCCCAGGTGACACGGGCTTCCCCTGCGCCCACGAGAAAGGGAGTCGCTGGCTTCGTCAGATGGCATGAGACTATCCTGCTCCAAGGGGGAGTGGGCCTCCTCGCCAGCCTCCTCCTCGTCACCCTCCAAGCCCATGGCCTCATGTTGTTGCGCCTGGTTCTTGTTCTGCAGGGTTTGAGTGGCAGTGGAAGCAAGTAAAGGCAAAAAAAAAGAAAGAAAAACAGACTCAAAAGAAAGGTTTAAAGCCTCTGGTGAAGAAAACTTTAAAGTCTTTATGAAAGGCTGATACAGCTTTGTTATTTTAATGTGTATACTTCCCATTAATGTGACGTCTGTGACTACGAGTTACTGCACCCCATTTGCCATTTCTTAAAAGCTGCAGGAAGTCAGTGTAGTTTGATGCAACTCCTCAAAATTAGCTTTGTAACAGTTCATAGAACTCCCAACAGTCACATTTACAGGGAGGGCAACAGGTTAAAATAGCATAGGCCAAAACTACCCTTTAAAACAAGGCCCAGCTGTGAGTTAGAAGAGCTACTTGTTGCTGCAGTTGTTCCACAAAGATCCATCATGCAGGAACTGCCGACAGGTGTCTGAAATGCAGCCGGCTTTTACAAAAATCCGGCTTTATCAAAACAGAACATTCATCAGTTTTCTTAAATCCAATGAGCTTTTTCATTAATAAAACAAACATCAATCTTCAGCGGTTCCAGTCTGCTCAAATACATCAATGTTTTGTATAGTGTAGAAGTAGACAAAACAGGAAATACTTTGGAATTTGTCATATAAGATTTAGCCACCCAATCTTATCACGTAAAGAGGAACAACTCCATCAATCAAAGCTTTTCAACCAGGTTCATTTTTTAAAAACCTGAAAAACAAACAATCCTTTTCTTTATATCCAAGCGCTACTTATGACTGAAGTACACAGAGACAAAACTGGGCTCCTCTAAAAGTGGAATTTGTCAGCTTTAAATCAGCACTCAAAGAAAGGAATCAAAGCTCCTGTTGGCAGCAGAAGTTGATCCTTCTACTGATTTTGTTTTTCAGCTGCAAACATGTTCACATAATGGCACACACCTACAAACCGCCAAAAAAGATAAAGGCATGCAACATGAATGCATCTAAACACAGATTCAGTTCTTCTTCTCTGGGTAATGATCAGTGTCATTAAGTTTATTTCACCAGCAAAATGACTGTAGTGACACATTAATTCCTGGGATGAGAACAGCAAGTGTCTTAAAAGTAAGAATTATGAAAAATTCGGTGAATGTCTGAATTTTTCAAAGATGAATAATCCAGCATGTACTACTTTAGAAATTAAACCATTTACTGGTGCTGCATGTTTTTAAAGTGGTGCATGCTGTTCATTACACTGACACTCAGTGAAAACTATTCTAAATCCTAAAGCACAAAGTATAAAAAAGACGCAGGTTTGGTGAGCAACTAGGACCCTACATTGTAGACAAATGGGACAACAACCCTCTCCCAGAGGTCAAGCACCAACGTTTCCGGATGTTTCCAGACTGACGATAAAAGAGGAAAAGATGTTGGTGAACATGATCCTGTCCCAATATTTTGATACCTATGACATCAGCTTAATTATGAGCTGATGTTTTTATTAAATAATAATTATGAAAGGATTTATTTAAATTTCTTTACACTAAATATAAAAATTGTAGCATCTCAACCGTTTTTTTTTTTTTTAAAAGAGCCATTTATATCTCAAGACTTTAGTCAAAACAAAAAAAGGTTGATTAATATCTACAAAAATATGTTTCAGTGGTCGCTTGTCCTGGCTTTTAAAACGGCAGTGTAAAGTTTTATCTTCATTTCCAGAGTTTGACTTAATAAGAGACATGAAACAGATGTAACTTGCATTTACAAAAGCAAGTGATCCTTGGCTGAAAGTCAGATAAAAAGCCAGAGCTGCACAGTGTTAAAGACCTGAATATGTTAGCAGTTGTCGTGCAGCAGGGATGTTTTAGCCTCTTCAAAGTCCCTATGTTTGATCTGTGTGAGAATGAAAACAACCATCCATGCTAAGACAGAAAATGTCTTAGCACTGAAGCTATGGTCTCATTTTGTTGTGCACATCTTGATTTGGTTCAAATGAACAGATTGTTTATGCACTGATCATTTGCCTTTAAATTAGCATCATTCAAGCTATGCACCATGGTGCGAGCGAACAGCATTCACAAAGCATGCTTCGGAAAGGATCAAGGCTGGTAAGGAAAACGGAATAATGCGGGCATTTAGTTTTTTAAACTGATAAAAAAAGAAAAAGATTTCAGTCATGGCAGGAAATTGAAGATGGATTTCCCCTGCTTTGTGAATTTTCTCTCAGAGAGTTTGTGGAGTAGCAGTTTGCCTGAAAACATCAAGTGAAGAAAAGGAGGCAGGATGCAATAAGGGAACCAAATAAATAAATAAAATAAAATATTTTCATCTTGTCTGTAGTGAGATGTGAGTGCATAAAGCATGTCTCATTCACTGTCTCAGCCTCTGTGTAGTGTTGTTTTGGTGTCAGGAGGTGTGAAAAAAAGGGGGAGGGGTGCACAAATACATACTATATAAACCCTATTACTCACCCCATTTTGTAAGGGATCATTCAATTAATTCCTGTGTTTCAGAAAACTGCGAAAATGTTAAGCACGGATGAGCGAGAGGACAGACAAGACAACTGGAGAAAAATCAAAACAGGAGTGAGACTGGGATGGGAAAAGCTGGTAAAGACAAAGACAAAATATGTATTCAAAAGAGTCCTTCTCAGGTGGTCAAACTGCATTCAGTGCACATGTTGCCACTCCAAAGCACCCAGAAGCAAACGCACCTGTAGGCTGGAGATGGCAGAGGGTGGGGTCATCAGACTGGGACCCAGTAACGGGTTCAGAGGGGTGTTGCCAGGGAGGTGAGTGGCTCGCCAGTAGACCTCCAGGTATTCGGCCAAATGCTCACAAGCATCTTCCAGCTGGTTCTCATCCAAAATGACATCAAACATTTCCTGCAATTTCAGAAAAGAAATCTTAGGAGCCTGTAACTCTGCTCCCATTACTGACCCGGCTCAGCCCAGCTCAAATGCTTTCATTATCGCTGCTGTGATAATTAAAGCATTTCTGTCAATGTTTTACAACATGGCCACCGGTTCTCCTCTATTGAATGTTTTAAAAGTTCCTAACAGGAGCAGCATTCTTGCTCGAAACACCTCTCTCTAATCAGATTCCAGGGATATCCACGAGCTAACCTGCAGGGGCACACAAGGTGATGCCAAATTGATAAACCCCTATGTAACGAAAGCCGTGTTTACCTACAGATTAATCAGAATGGGGAATAAGTAAAGTGTTCCCGGTGGTAGCTGTGATCAAACTGAAAGAAAAATGGGTGGAGGTTTGTTTTTCGGTTGAAATTTCACAGAAGCAGATTACAGATGATGAAACAAATGATTCCCATTTGTCAGAGAACTCACCGGGGGGCACTGAGAGAGTTTGTCTGAAGCCATCATCTGCACGTTCAGGTGTTTGCTCTGAGACTTCCCCCTGGATTTGACCAGCCTCTGCAGCACCTGAGGGCAGAAAACACACCGGTATAAATCCAGGGCTTAGGACGTTCCCACGGCATTGGTCAGCACGTACCTTTGGTGAGGAAACCTTGACGTAGACAACGATGGGGGCGAGGGAGGTTTTGGCCAGCTGCGAGGGGTGGTTGATGGTGTCCGCGTCCAAAACCACCAGCTGAAGGGTTTTGGCGAGCTCAAATATCCTCTCGATCTCACTCTGCACCTCGGCTGCAGTGAAGGGACATTTGCAAGTTCAGAGTTGTTCTCTCTTTAGAGGACAGAGCTTCAACATTTCCACGCTGAGGTCAGCATAGTTACCAAGGCTGGAACGGGTGTTAGACCTCTCCATTAAGGGTCTTTTGTTGAGGACCGATCTTTTGGCTAAGGACAGGTCGGCAGTTACACGGGTGATTGAGATTCTGCAAACAATATTAAAAAGATTTTTTTTAAAACCCCAAAACACATTTCTGAGATTATTCAAGACCTGAATTCTTGAACTGAATAGTCTCTGCGTTCATATATTCTCATTTTTACTGACCTTCCCTCAAATCTGTGTTTTAGGAAGTCAAATAGGGCTTTCTGCATCATGTCTGTCACCTAGACAGAGAGAGAACAAAAATGTATATTTATATGATATAATTTCCTTTATTGGAACAGACAGTAAGAACAAGATAAATTGTCCAAAAACATACAGGAATTTTAGACAAATGAAAGCTGGAACTAAGTTTATCGACTCAGATTAAATATCAAACTTAGTCCAGAGGAGTTCAAACTGATTCAGACGTTTAGAGGAAACACAATGCAGAGTGAATCAGTCATTCTATCAGCTGGAGGTGAAATGAGGAGAGGCTGACCTCATAGCCCTTCAGCGATGGCCCCACGAGGACCACTGGCCTCATGGAGGGCACCACATCATAGGGCGGGACATGCTCCTGCCAGAATCAGAGAACCATGGGGAACAGAAGAAAAAAACAACAAAGAGTGATGCAAAAACTGGCAAGTAAAGCTTTAGGTTTACTCTGACATGCACAATTCCATCTTCAAACAGATTATCAGTGAATAACTTCCCAGGCTCTTCTCTGTATCTGCCAAAAGAACTTGAATTTGTTCAGACAGTCCTTTCGTATCATCACGTTAAAACGTACCTGCTTTTGCTTCTGTTTAGCTTGTGAAAGCAAACAAAAAAGACAGGGAAGTGAATACAGACACAAGGAGAGCAGGCAGCAGGAGCTGGTCTCTGTTCCAGGGACTTGTGCAGTACTTACATTCACCTGCAGATGGCGGCGTGGTCCTCCAGCTCCCTGTCACCATGTCACCTAAACTGGAGGAGTTACCTCCCGTTTTCCTGCAGACAGCCACACACCGTATTATCACACTCACAGTGTGCAAACCAACCCTGTGAGGAGAGTGATGCCCGTGTGGGTCAATGTTTTAGCTGACCTCTGCTTCTGCTCTTGTTTGAGTCTCATTGCCTCTAGTCGAAGAGGGCTGGGGATGAAGGTGATGTCCGCTCCCTCTTTTACTAACCGGCCGATCCACCAGTCATTGTTGTACTTCTGTTCAATTCAGTAAAACAACAACACAGAGTCACCTTTGTGCCTCATTTACTGTCAGGGAGAGGGCTGAACATAGCTGACACGGAGCAACGCCTCACTTCTTTGATGTGCAGGAAGTCTTTGGCATCAAAATTGACAGCAGCTCCTTGGACAGGACAGTCCTCATCCAGAGCTCCACAGTAACTCACATTGGTCTTCACTGCAAATGCTACAGGTTTGGACTGTGGACAAATAGAAAGAGAAAAATGTCTGGACAGATTGCGTTGGGTTAGGTGACCCATGACCTTGCTGTTATCACTGTGTGGTCAGCTATGGCTTTATTTATATTTATTATTTATAGGCTAAATAAAAAATTGTATCCGTTTTAAAGTCCTCACTCTGTGACCAGGAACGTTGTGCATTCCACTCTGGCTAAAAGTGCATTTTTAAAAACCATGATTTTTTAGGTGGTAACAATCGTTGCCCTAACCCTAATTCTTCCACCTACAACTTAAGTTTAACGTGTGAGATTTTTCTGGATTGGCTTACAGCGAATATGCATTTCAATATGACTCTACAGTATGAGGCGGTGCACATCCCTGTGCAGGCGGCACACCTTAGCTCTGTCCAGCTGCTGCTGAGCCTGGCGCTCGGCTTCACGCCGATACGCCTCGCGGTCCTCCTCGGCTGACAGGTCTGAATCCGACGGTCTACTGGTATACGAATCAGCTGAGCCCTGCCAGGAGAGAGTCGCACGGTGAAGTCTGTTGCGGGAATATACATATCTTAAGCTAAAGATCCCTTTACCAGGGCTACTGTGAGATCAGAGACGTGGGCCTGCTCTTTCTGTTGGCATGCCTGCTTTCATTTGTGTTTCAGTCCCGCGGTCTGTTTGTATGGAGCATGCAAATATGCGTCTGCGTTCATGACCACATTCATGTGTTGGCCTGTGTAGATCCGCAAAAAAACTAAACAATGCCTTGCTCTCCCACACCAGCTATCTTCTGACAAACCAAATATAGCACAAAGGAGGCAACCGCTTCCTCTTCTCTCCTCCTTGGCCCCAATCCATTCCAGCATCCCCCACAGTGCAGCACATACACATCCTTTATTCCCCGGTTTATTCTCCGAGGACAGCTCCTCATTAGCAAAATATATGCTGGTTATTATTTTTCAGAGTAAGCAGTTTAAGGACACATCGCAGGGATGGCTAGCACTGTTGTAATGAAGGCGACACAAAGGGGACGGAGTCATTTCACAAGAAAAGGTCCTTTTTTAACAGAATGTGTAGCCCTGCTACAGTTTCCTCTAATGTCTGCATCATGTACCACACAGCTGGAATATCAGTCATAAACAATTACCTGCTTGGGGTGCATCTCAATTCCGAAGCTTCTCGTCTTTAAGTATAAAATGAGTCAATGTTGGGTTGAATCTGTCAGTGGTAAAATACCATTTTGACTAAATGACATGTCAACCCCCCCACCCCCATATCATTTATTTTTTGCAGATGCAGCCTGTATCTGAGAGCTGGAAGTGAAAAGTAACACAAAAGCACATTTCCCACAGAGAAAGACAAGATGTTCTAGTAACAGTTTGTGTATGTGTGTGTGTACGAGAGAGATCTTCTATATTTGGTGCCCCATTGGCTTCTCTGAAGATGCTCAGCCCTGGATCTGTCAGTAAGGAGAACAGCTGCGGCAGAGACACAACCAAGTCTGATGAGACGAATGTGACAAAGAACAAACAAAACAACAGTGGATCAACCACTTTTTTCTTTTTCCTGAAGCTGAATGTGTAGCAACATATGCCAACTGAAAGTATGCGCACAATGTTTAGTTCCCTCCTTTCGGAGTGCAGTGACGCTTCGGTCATCTATCTTGTCAACGTACACAAACCGATCCTCTGGAGGACCACTTAGCAAGAGCACAACAAAACGAGGTTTAGAAGCAAAACACACAAAGAAGCCTCTCAACAAAAAGAACAACCACGACCTTTGCTCTCTCTCTCTTTCTCTGCAGTTCAGAACATGCTCACATATGCAGCGCCACTGCAAGCGAACACCTCTCCTTTCTTTTTTTGGCGTGCTGTGTGTGTTAGATAACTACATCTGATTTCGAGCTCTCCAAAGCTCTGCAAGGCAACACTGCACCAGTGCCAAAGCAGTGCTGACAGAGGAAAGAAAAGTGAGGAAGAACAGGTGGAAGAAGAAGGAGAGTGAGAAAAATTAAGGGGGCACACTCAAAGAGGGAGGGTTTATGGGTGGCTGATAGATAGTTGGTGAGATGAGGGATAAATATGAGGCAACTTCGAAGGGAAGAAGAGATCAAAACAAAAACAGAAGGACTACTTTTTTAACTTGAGAGGAGAGAAGTGGGGGAGGGAGGGACACGAACAAGACCACATGAGACAGGGACGAACAGATAGCAGATAGAGTTGCATACCTGGCTGATTAACAGCACGGCGCTGGAGCCCGATAAAGACATGAATGTGTATTTTCTATCTGTGGCAGCTTCCCTGTCTTCCCCCAGAATGCTCCCAAACACTCACAGACATTAAAGCGGAATAGATGTGCTGGTGGGCGCAGAGCAAAGGCGTGAAAGGCTTTAAATGCTGTTAGAAGGCAGAGAGGCTGCTGTTTGTTATTTGTGTTTGGACATGAGGCTCTGCACTGTGAGCCTCTTCTGTGCTCACTCTGGTCTGGTCACCGGTTAAACACTACAAAAAAACATTTTTTAGCTCTGACAAAAGTGGACACACAGGAGGGGGGATGCGTAAAAGAGGCTTAACTACACTGCAGATTGTAAACTCATTATCTTTTATCTTTTTCTTAAATTCATTTAGTTTATTCCTGATTAAGTCCCTTTCTGAGGAGTTAACTGAACCATCTTCCCTCCAAATTGTCTTGTGTTTTGCCCCCACGTTTCACTGTGAGCGCCAGATAAATTAATATGACAGAAATAAAACTTCGATGTGTCAAATTCCCAACAATTTGCATTTTTCTGGGGTTTTAAGCTAAAACTTTCAAATACATGTGCAAAGCAATTTGAAGTAACACTTGGATTAAGTCCACCTCTGCACAGTGAATTCAGCTATATTTGCATGTAGATGAAAGAAACAAAGAGGAGCTGAAAGTAGTCCTTAGGAATAACGAGACAGCACTGACCACAACACATGACTTCCCTGGGGACGGAGAATCTCCCTGATGAACAATGTGAGTCCTCCTGCTCTGCTCACTGGTAAATTCGGTTGGGTTTCATGTCATGATGCCACTGCCCCACCTGGAGCACTTCACTAAGCTGGAGTACTCATTAAATGATGTATCAGAGAGCACAGCTGGACACCCCACCTCCAACATATGGCTGATACACATGTGAAAAGATTGGGTTAACACCAAGGAATAATGCTGGCAAATTTAAAAGACGAATAAGGTCTGCGGATCTGCCAGGTGCGTTGCGCTCAGACATTAAGCAGCAGGTCATGTTTTTCCTCCATGGAGTCTTTATCTCTTTAACAGTAAAGCTCCACTGCACTGTAAGATGCTTGTAGGCTGGAGATCTGTTATTTCAACAACTTGAAAGTAGAAGATTCCAAACAGTCAGTCGCAGAAACGCTTTAACCAGTGATTTGCTTCCCATTCTCACCACCGGATGGTCTTTGCTTTGGTGGTCCTTTGATTGTGAATCTTAGGATCAAATGTGTAAAATGTTTGGACTGATTATAGTAATAAAATGATCCAGAGCTTAAATTCTGACTAAACCTACTAGCAGTCTTTTGCCTCCTCACCCAGTCAGATAAACTCACACTTGTACAGCACAAACATCTGCTGAGTTCCCTAAGTTTTGCTGACAGAAATATTAAAATACATGAAGATATGAAACGCAGGCAGACCGCGCTGATGCAAAGCTCCGAAACCCTCCGTCCGTCGAAACAACGGTAGAATTTATTATGCTGGAAGCTAAGGCAGCTGATCCCTTAGTGGAACAACCAAAACACAAAACTGCAACCTGCGGCAATTTGGAAATCCAGCAAGCAAATATTTCATTTCAAAGAGTGCTCTGTGGGCTGTGGGGTCGTAATTCAAAGTCAGCAAGTTCCACATGCAGGGCGCTCTGAGGCACGACGCAATCAGTCAGTGTTTTCACATCAGAGACCACTCCACGTCCAATTGATCAACCCGAGGGCCATGTAGGAGTGACAGGAACCATAGAAAGTAGAATGGCAAGGAATGGGGGGGACGCAAAAAACAGTGATGGAGAGGGGAGTCCAGGTGAAGCAAGAGGACAAAGGAAAGCTGAGAGGTGAAGCGCCCACAGAGCAATGAAAACGCTGTGGAGGAGAGGAGTCTGACGAGTCTGTGTGAGGAGGCTGTTGTACTCACTCAGTTAAAGTGCTGATGGCGCTGCTGCCGGTCTCACTCTCTCTTTGTACTACATGCTGCAGAACGACCACACTGTGTCCCATCCCCTTACAAGGGACGACCTGCACTGGAGCAGACACCGGCTACACCTTCTTTTCTATTCTTACCCCACCTCTCTACATCACAACACAACAACCAACGCAGCGTGTGCGTCACTTGATCGACCCCCCCCTCTTTAAATCTACATCACTCTCACTTATTCTTTTTAATGTCCGGCTCAACGTACAGCGGCAGCAGAGGAGAAACACATCAGGCTGCTGTTGTAACCGCACTGCCCCCCCAAGATGTCCTCATGTCCTACATATAACACATACATCCATACTGTATGCTGCTGCAGAAATGAGTCATACTCCACTGCTCCTCCATAGTCACCCCACCCCTATCACAGACAAGAAACTATCTGCTCTGTTTGGGATTTTTACTCCCTCTGCATAAAACATTTTGCCACATCCCCAGTGGGAGCAGGAGCAGGCGGGGTGCCTGTTGGTCGCGTGGAAAGAAGCTAACGATTGAACAGAGTAAAGGTGCCTTTATTTAATCCAGATGCCGTCACATTGAACAGCGCCGTCAAAATGGGGACTGTGAACATTCTAAAGTGCACAACATTCTCCAGGAATTTGGATCTTGTCATATTTCCCTCAGAGACACACACCCCACCACGATCAGGATAACTAATGTCCCCTCCTGAAGAAGATGTCTGCTCAGCCTTTTTCTTCTCACCGACACCTCGGTGTGCTGTTCGCTCCCTATAAATCTAACTGCTCTGTGGGTGAAATGAACCCATCTGAGGATAAGAGGTACATGTAAGAGAAAAACATCGAGCCTCTTATCTTGAATGCATTCAAACTGAACAAGCGGCTTCATACACAGATTAAGATGTTGTTTCAGCACATGGAGCTAAACTGTGTATTCAGAGCCAAAACACAATCAGAAGCGCTGCTATCGAGCATTAATGTGAGAAGAGGCATGTTGACTAAAGTTATTTTCTGTGCACATCAGCCTCCCTTCCTTTGAGATTCACAAATGTAATAGTACAGAGTCTTTTGGTTCTCTTTCTCCTTTGATCAGTCTGCTTCAGCAGTGGCTTCATGTTTGATAAGTGTCTCACGTTTGGAGTTTATAGTTTGGTTTGCGAACTCGTTATTCCGGAAATGATTTTGCTGTACGTAAAACACTGATTCATTGGGCCAGCCGATTGCACATCTGATCCTTAAAAGTGTATCTGGTGATGGGTGTGTTAGAAATGTTTGTTTGTAGTTTCCATAGATACAAACAAACACACAAATAAATAAATAAACAAAAGATTAAATATTAAATTGATGCAATAATCAATTAATCAAATAAAGATCAAATTAAATGAAAACTGGTTCCTGTACTGTTCATTAAAATAATAATGTAATATGTTCAAATATTAAACATGAGCCTTAACTGACATCTTCCACTGCTGAAGAAACTAAAACTCATTTAGTTTGTGTGGAGCAACAACCCAGTGATTCAGCCGCTCAGATTTTCATAATAAAGTTCTAATTGGAGGAGTTTATGGTATCAATAAATAAAATCAGATTAATCAAAAGCAAACAAACTTGTATCATCACATATTATCAATTCTGCCTTTTCTTTGTGATGGATGTTAAATCCATTGATAACATGGAGATGATCAGAGTAATTATTCTGCAGCTGTTTGAAACAAAGTTTTCTCAGTTTAAATAAACCATTCATTTCAGACTGTCAGAGCGGCTTGTGATGTCGAGTTTAAAGGGAGGAGGAACAGGTTGATGGTGGAACCTGCCCCCCTCCATCCTGTGTTCCCTTTTGATAATCCCAGGTACTGATGTATAAATGTAGTCTAAAAGGATCCTGTAGAAGTCCCCAACAGAAGAAGCAAGATCCTTGTATTTCTTTCTTTTTCTTTAAAGCTGATATTTAAATCCCTTCCAACTCCTGACTTGTCCTATTGGATGCATAAAGGCCAGTAAATCTTAGGGATCTAGTGATTTGGGGTTGAGCTCTGTATGCATAGATCTTCTGTAGCAGTGTAAAACCTCTAAACTCTCTTCTTCACACTGACACACAGATCAAATCTAACATAAACCCAGAAACAACACTTATAACAGGCATGTAATCCAATTAAATCTCCTCATATCATCTCTTCTTCATGAGAATGTAAAACCCCTTTTTCCTTATACACAGAGAAAGTCTTAAATAACACAAAATCTCCATATGAGGCCTCCACACATGCATGACCTGAAAACATTAATTAAAAAAAGTGGGCTGTGTTGGGATTTTGATTTGAACATATTTCAGAGTGCAAGCATTTTGCTGCCACCTGCTGGACCAAACAACACCCGTAACTAAGGACTCAATGCGCTCTGGAGGAAGAGGGACAGTAGAATTAGCCATGAATTTGAAACTGAGATGAAAAATACACCGCTATCTGAATTAGAAATATAAATGACGTGCATAGATGCAGCGTGAAAGCCAACAAAGTAATGCAGAGTGATCTGCTAGGGGGGAAAACTTTAAGTCCTCAGAGCTTTGTTCATGCATCACACATCCTGACCTACATTTTCCTCAGAAGATACCGTTATTCCCTCCCACTGACATTCAGTGTTTGATAATCTGCCACTGACAGCCAATTGTGAGGAGAAAGACATCATGCATAAGAGAGCTTTTACCTGCCGTTTGATGAAGCTGGATGTTGTGTCGGAAGACGTGCTGCCATCTGAGCGTTTGAAGCGGCTCTTGCGTTTAGGCAACTTCCTGGGCATCTGCAAGAAAGGAGACCCACACAGGTTAAAATAGAGTGAACGGCCGGGGGGCCGGAGGTTGGCAGACACACAAATTGCTTTTGACCTGCTACTCTTTAAATAAAGGCCTAAGCTTCAGTGTAAAGTGACTACTGTCTATGAATTGGAAAGAAAAGTAAATAAACGGAGTAAACAAGACACATTTAAGATGTTCAAAATGAAAGAAAAAAAACAAACACATGAAATGGAAAATTATATGGAGGGGGAAAATGGCCCAAAATAGATCTTTTAAAGAAAGACAAAAACGGCAAAAAAGAAAAGATTGAAATGAGGGAAAATATGTGTAAAGATTTCAAATTTGCCTTAAAATTACCTTGAATTGACAAAAAAAGATTGAATGGCTATCAAAATGTGACTTAAAATGACAACAAAAAAAGAACAGAAGAGGCCATATTGTTTCAGAAACTGCACATCAGATGTGATGAACTACAATCGTTTGTAACTACCAAAATAATAAAAAACACACACATATCTCAGCACTGCCTTTAAAAATAGACACATGCTGACTGCAGGCCACAGGTGAGTCTTGGTGTGCAAATTAACAGCGACTAAAACAAAAACCTGCAGCCACATCACATGATGGCACTGCTGTTGGCCAGTGTCCACGAAACGTTGAGGGAAAACGCGCTAAAATGAACAACAAACCATCAATCCAGAGGCCTGATCGGACTAAAACAGAAGGATTCGTATCAGGAGCTGAGGAACAGCCAGCCTGTCGGTGTGTGCTTGTGTGTGTGTGCTTATTAAAAGCGTAATTTGTCAGCTTACTGTGTTGCACTGGCTCAAACATCAACCGGCACAGCTTCCATGAAGGCGGGGGTGCAGGGGAAGGGGGGATTTAAAAAAAAAAAAAAAAACTATATGGCATTTGGCTGCCAAACCGCGACGCGTCAAATGAAACAACAAGTAGCATTTGAGATTTTAGCTAACCGTCTTCAAACACTTCCCTCGGCGACGACAGAGTTAGTTAGTGGTGTGAGCCATGGGGGTCAAGTGTGTGCATTTACCTGAAAATAATGCGACTGGGAGCCGGTTTCCACAGCAGACAGAGGGTCTACGGGTGATTTGGACATTTTGACTTGCACCATCTATCGAGAGCGCGGGGAGGCAGGATGCACACAGACATGGGTTACCGGAGGAAGCGAGAGGCACTAAACACATCTACAGGCAGTGAAAACAGAAGGGAAGCAGGACAAGACAGCAAAAAAAAAAGGAGCGTAATTAATATATAGAGCCAGCCCTAAAGGAATTTACTTTTCCATTCCAAATAAAATCAAAACACGCGTCGCGCCGAAACGTGAAGACGTCCGGCGTGCAGGACCCACACCGGAGCTAAATGAGACGGTTAACGCCGAGGCGGCGTCAGCTCGCGAGCAGCGCGTGCAGGTCCGTACTAAGTGCGCGGGTCTGCCGGGGGGAGCCGAGGTTCACCGAGCAGGCAAACCGTCAACTCACACGTCTCTTTTTTTCTTCTTTTTTTTTTTAGCTAATGCACTCCAGGTTTGTTAAATAAGGACATAAGACACAAGAGACGACAGTCAAATAAATCGAGCCTTTGGTGGGATAATTTTTTAAAGTCTACGCTTTTAAAAAAAAAGCTGTCAGTGTAAAGAAGCTAATAGTGTAAAACAACACATCTCCAGACACGTTGATGACAGAGACACAACAGCGAGAGAAAGTCCTTCTGTTTCGTGAAAGTTGAAGCGCAGGCTATAAAGCTTAGTTAAGATTTCATGAATAATTGATCAATAACAAATTATCAAGAGACATGAGAAGTAAGCCCCTAATGGTTTCCGTTTGCTGTCGAACCCTCTTTACAACTGATAACTTGTGAATTATCATTAGGCCTAATGGCTCCCTAAATCATTGGAAAGGGTTCCCTCTGTGGATTGTGTTGGGGGGGAAAGATTGCCGACCGAATAGATCTGCCATTCAATAACTTTAAATGGTTTCATAAAGGTTTAAAAAGCTTCAACTCTCAAAAGCAGAATAAAGCACAGAACAACTGTCTCTTCTTTCATTATACATTTTAATATCTTCTGTATGGTTTAGAGCAGGGCCGGGTCTAGGCAGGAGCAATAGGGGGTCTGGCACCCTCAAATAAATGTTGTTCCCCCTCAAACGGAATCCCCCAAAATTGCTTATTAAATGTAAAAAAGCAATGCAGCCCCTGTACCTTTTCTTTGGGTAGAAAAGATCTCTTCAATAGAGTTTAGAGACCAGCCAACCAAATCCATGGTTTTAAGTTTTCAGTATTTAGGGGGGGAGTGCAGGGAAAGGCTCCGAGATGCAACAGGACAAAGACAGTAGGCACAGGAGGCAGCAGGTCTGCACTCAGCCAGAAGAAGAAGCTGCAGGACATTTCAAAATATAGGCTATACATTTCATTATGTCCCCCACAATAGCCTGTGCCCTGACATCTTGATCCTCTTTTGAGTTCTTCATATATAGTTTTTATTTGTACCCAACTGTTTCAGAGAAATGTGCCTTTTGTTAGTGATGCCATGGAACACTGACCTGTGAATCACTCAAGCATAAGAAAGACTCATTTCAAGGGATGAACCAGGGTTGTGTCTGATTATCTACTAGAAAAGAACTGGACAGAAAATGTGTCAACAGGTCTTATGGATCGAATTAAAATGTCATCCCCTTAATAGAATAACAAACAGAAACCAATGCCTGAAGAACTTTGTTTTCAACAAGCCTTGAGAACTATTCATCAAGACAACTTCAAGAAATTACCAGAAATGTTGCTGACCTGAAAAGATGATAGCAAAACCACCAGAAGACGATTGCAGAGTGACATGAGTCAATGTTTCAACATATAGCGAAGATCTGACAAGGAATGAATGAACTGGGAAGCAACAATAGTGGACGGAGTGATTAATAAGATAGCAGCTGAGCAGGGTGAGGACAATTGACCTGATGAAGAGGACCAGAGAAGACTGAGGAACATGAAGGTGGTAGACACAGAGGTAAAACACAGGAAGCTGAAGAGGGTACCACAATAAAACACAGGAAGCTAACTAACACAGGAAACACAAGAGAAACTCAAACCTAACATGGAAAACACAATAAAGCAGAACAACATAACCAGAAACTATATAACCTAAAACAAAATCAGATAAAAGGATTAAAGACTGGAGGAAGAAAAATGTACAGTTTTCTGCTAAGAAAGACAACTCACACATATCACATCCATAAAGAATATAGCATATGAAACAAGCATATTTGAGATTAAATGAATAACATATTCTAAACTCAATATATAGTTTTCATCTAAAATTTGGGGGTGACTGAATTTAAAAGGCTAAAAAATTCGAACAGGAATTCTCTCATTTCAAGCGTTGGTGTATTTGTGAAAGCCCAAATGGAGGCTGACCACTGATAAATGTGAGTGGAACAAAGATACAGCAGCCATAACTTTTGAAATTGTTATGATATATATTTTTTTTACAACTTTTGAGTTCAGAATTGAACCAAAGAACTGATCTTTCACCAGTAACTTCCTATATTGTTCATACAGCACAACGCACACATCTTATTTTTGTATTCAGAATTTAAAAAAGAGTTTAAAACTAAATTCTAAGGAAAAACACGCATGGATGAAGAGTCCCCATCAGTGCAGTTTGTGATTCTACAAGCTCTGGCAGTCTTCGTCATGTGTGATGGTTTTGAGTCCACTTGCACAGATCGCTGTTCGACTGCGCCCTCTGGCGGTCGGTTTAGTAACACCAGCCAAACCTAACATGGCTGTACAGAAAAGGGCAGCAATGCTTTCCTTTTTTCCGGAGGACTTCCCCAGAAATATGCTTCACTAGTCTAACCTAATTAAAGACATTTTTCTTGAGCCTTGAAAAAAAAATCAAATGATGTAAAGGGAACTTCACTGATGGATCGCAGCTGCTTCTATTTGTTAGGCTGAAATAACCAGTGCACATACACTGAAATGCAAAAACACAAACAGTTGGCTGGGTTCTTTTTTTCTTTCTTTTTTTGTTTGTCTCATCAAACAGAAATACCAGATCTTGAAGTGTTGCATGTCATTGATTAACAGTACCCACAGAACAAAGCATTGACTCTCAACAGTTTTCCAGGCTTTCTGAAGGTCTGTCAAAGTTTTTTTTTCTGGAGACTGGCTCACATTTTGCATACCTAGATACATAAAAGTAAGATCTCGAACAGAGGCAACATAAATGTTGTGAATACAATCTTTAAGTGAAAATGTCGCTAAGTACATTTTATCAAAACAAAACATGTCAGAGTACTCCTCTACTTTTATTGAATATAGATTTAAAAATTATATTTGGTGACGTTTTCATTTTTATTGGACAAACATCAACATGTTCATGTATCTTTGCCCCGTACACGTGTACAAAGACAGAAATTTAGACCAGTTGGTTTAATCAATTTGACTTAATTGTGTCCATATCTGTGCAGCAACCTGCAATTTGTGGACCATTTACGCTCTTTCCTGAAGCCTTTTTGTTGGTTTAAAAAAACATACATCAACTTTTTTTTAAATCCAATAATGCCACAGTTCAGAACTATATGATAAATAGGAAGGTTTAGTTGAGATATTCGTTGGGCTTCTACACGTGAGGCATGGAGATCACAGTTGGAGGGTTTTTCCACCTCTAGAGGGAGTACCGAGTCTCTGAGAGTGGGAATGAGTGGTGAGCAGCGGCGCGCCTGGACTCCACTGACATGCGTCAACGCTCCAAAGTGTCATAGCACATCACCGGAAGTAGGACAAATACGATTTTAAATTAAAGGCAGAAAATAGACAGGACTGGGGTGATGACACCACAGGCAAAGGAACCAATCAAAGCTGCTATAGTTATGTTTTTCCCACTCAATGTTCAAGAACATTACATTTCAAGCTTCAGTAAGTCTTTTAGTAGGGTTTTTAAATCATAGTAGTTGTAATTTAGCATCTCTTAGTATTCATTTCACATATTTTTGTGTAATTTGTGCATCACCCTGTGATTATTCTGTATCTTAATCTGATTACATTGTACTAATCACGTATGGAATCTTCCCGTTGGGTCTATATGTATATTTCTTAAATTTGTTTTTGAACCCTGTTATCTACAATTGGTTATTTTGTGTATATTTGGTTATTTATGTCTGTTTAAAGATGTTTTCATTAAATTCAGGTGTTTCGGGTTTAATTCAATTAATTTTTCTTTAAATCATAACTTGTCCACTCAAAATCAGTGACGTCTTATGTTTTACATTCTTTGTTTGCCATCTTAGATCATCTTCTTTTCATCAGTGTTTACCTCAGTGTGGCTGCTGTGGCTCATATTTAGATTGTCACGTGTCATGCTCAGGCAACTCTCATGCAGCTTTCCTCATATCCAACTTTAGCAGAGGTTCATTTGATGACTGCAATTTTTCCTGTTTCTGTGGCTGTTAAGAAACAAAAAACAAAACAAAAAGAAAGCCAAAACCTTTAATTGTGCTCAACAGTTTGTGGGAGGTATCCATGCTGATGTGTCACACCATTGCTTCACAACAGGAGGGTACAGAGTTGGTGAGGGCTTTGCATGTTCTCCTTGTGTACATGTTGGATCTGTCCAGGTGCTCTGCCTCAAAGAAACATGGTTTCTTAGAATGCTTGTGAACGTGTGCTTGTTTGTTTCTATGTGGCCCAGGTTGTGCCCTGCTTCTCGCCAAATAGTCAGCTGGGCTTGCCCCCTCGTTGCCCCTATGCAAACCTACTAGGAGTAAGCAGTAAAGGTGCTCTCACTTGCTCCCCATGACCATGCCCAGACTGACCATTACTGATGTCTTTCTTTATTGGCATTGTATTAACACGCACAACAATGGCCCAGTCCAACTACCAAATGATGCTAGATCATTTAAAACGTTTTTAGATTCGGCTATGCGAAGGCTACATACGGACTGGGTTTTAACTTGAAAAGTACAACCGGAAGTGTGCTCTCTGCATTTTCGCCGTCTTGCCTGTGGCGCTCGGAGCCGAGAGGGTCAGGGGGAGGAGAGGCAAGGGAGTGGAGCGAGAAGACGACAGGAGGAGATCCACCACAGGGTGACCAGTTTACCCGGA